GATGAGCCTCCCCAGGGGGGGTTCTGCTTGAAGTTGTCACTACATGATCACTTGGAAGGGGGGAAAAAAAACCCCAAAAAACCCACACCCTTCTCATCCACCAAAAGCGAGGAGAGAAGCGGATTATTTCCAAAACTCACCAAACACCACCACCATCCATAAGCGGGTAGAGGTCATTCTTGGTGGGAATGGTGACTATGGATAGCAGCTATGGAAATAATCTTGGCATTAAGGGCTGACACTCTTTGAAAGACTTTCGGTCAAGAGGGGGGAAATGAAGAGCTGAACAAAACAAAGGGGAAGGGCAATGTGGACTTGGGAAGGAAAAAAGCAAAGGCCAGATTTTACTAGGGTAGAGGGCCACTCATCCCCCCCCTCCCCTGAGAAACCAGGGAACTTCCTACCCTCAAACTGATGCTTTTGCAAAATGATTTGGTCAAAGTTCATTTTTTTTCTTGTTGCCATTGGCATTGTTTATAATTCTTATTCCTTTTCCCAGTCCCCTTCGAACTTGCCTCTACTTTCCGCTCCCTTTAAAGACCCAGGTCAGGCGGGGATCCATGAATATAAATGCAAAGAGGGCAGGTTTTCGAAGCCACTTCTTTTTTTCAGAGGAAAGGGTGGGGGTGGAAAGAATTGTTTTGAGTGTGACCGTCTTTAAAAACAGAGGGAGAAATAAAATGAATAGCACCAACAGCAATTGTTTTGGCTTCTGTCCCTGGCCTTTAAACGCTTCCTCCTGTCTCTATTCCCCCGATTCAGTGTGGTATCAAAACTCAAACTCGGGCAGGACGTTTCCAAATAGGAGAGGGAGGAAAATCCTACCTCTGGGGAGAAAAGTCAAGCTGGGAGCTGGATGGGGGTGAAACAGTGCCTCCCAAAATGCAGGGCAGCGGTGTATCGGTGGTGGGTTCTGGATTGATCACCAAAAGTCTGCGGAAAGGACCGGATACTGAAACCCAGCTCAACCAAGTCTTAGGTTCATTTCCTCGGCTGTGAGCGCTCCCCAGGAAGCTGAACCCTGGTGTGGCGCAGCCCCGGCGAGAGGAATCCCCCAGCCAACGGCGTCTCTCGAGTCTCATCTCCCCTTTGTAGCCTCGGGTTTGTGGTCACCTCCGGCCCAGAGGTTAATCCGAGCACCTCCCCAGGTTTGGGACGAAAGACAGCAGGTCTCGCGTTCTTGCCATCGGAAAGCCAACGAGCCTTAGATCAGGAAGAAAGATCATTATTAATTACTTAAGAAACGAAAGCAAAGCTCGAGGAAGCCGCTGAGGCCTGGACGAGAGGACGGACCCGGGTTCCGCTAGGTGTAGGCCGTCTTGCCCCCTGCGCCCGTGGCTGGAGCTGGAAGGCACCTCCCGCTCTCCCCGCGGGCCTGACCTTGGCTCCGGAAGCTGCTGGGCTGTCCGCTTTGCTGCCGAGTTCGCCGCCGCTGTAGCCTCGGGCGGATCGGGCCCTGAGCCAGGCCGGGCTTCCAAGAGCCCTAGAGGCTGGGCGTGCGCTACCCCAGGGATCGAACCCCACGGCTGAGGGCAAGATCGGGCCGGAGCGACTGGCTCTCCGGGGTCCCTTGGCGGGAAACTTACCCTTCCGCAGGGCCCGGCGCTCACTCTCTGTGCTGGGCCGGCCCAGCTCCTCTCTCGGCGCCGCCCGGGGCGTCTACGCTGCATGTTTTGCAACTGAACCTAGCTGGTTGCCAGCTGCGCGCAAAAACCTGCGCATGAAACCCTGAGCGCATCCGCCACGGAGCTGCTTGGAAACTTAACGTCCACTGATCAGATCACAAGTCACTGTCATTGATATGAAAAACCCAAATAGAGTGCCTTGTCCCTCCGTAAGCCCTGAAATAGTTCCCTGTAGAAATAACCCCTCTCCACCTCTCCCACTACCACCCATTCACATCTCGCCTCCGGGGGCTACGCTGAGACCAGAGCTGCCCCGGCGCGGCCCATCTAATCTGAAGGATGGATTTTCTCTTAGCAAGAAACTTTTAAAGAAACTCTCTTTCTCCTCTTTAAATCATTGCCCAGCAATCCCACACAGGCCTGCCAGCCAAGGAATCAGGTAGGGAGGGGAAGGGGGCACCCAATTTCTTATTTTACAATAGCGCTTTCTCAAGAAAAATACCCCCAAACTTTTAAAACTTCGCATAATCTTTAGCTTCTTGCAAAATACCTCGTTTCTCCAGGAAAAACAAAACAATCCCAAACCTTGATTTCTTTCCAATGGGGGGTTTGAGGTGGGCCCTTCCCCCTCAAGCCCCCTCCCCTCTCCCTCTCTTAAAATTGATCTTGGCTCCATTGGTGTCTGATGGTGGCCACCCCCATCTCCCCAGAGAACTCAGGGTTTGTTTATTTCTTTATTTACTCCCCGACCTAGTCGTCCGGGGACCTGGGCCGACCCAGGACCGAGAGGCGAAGACGCCAAGACAAGAACCTCCCGCCGCCGCCCCCCAGTCGAGCGTGACAACGCGCGCGGGCAAGTTGCGTGAGTCGTGACGTCTCCAAGTCCTATAGGTGCAGCGGCTGGTGAGATAGTGGGTATCGCCTGGTTGCCTCTTTATTTTATTGGGGTATGCTTGGTAATAAAGGGTAATATTTAATTTGTCGGAGACCACAAACCACCTTGGAGCTGGGAGATACCGCCGTGTGGGGACAGAGCCTACAGAGGCCTGCCTCCGAAGACATCTCCTCCTCCCGAGGTGCCCTTTGCAAACTCTTCGCCTGGACACCCTCTTCCCCAGCGAGGTGCCACCCCTGCTCTCTGCCCTGGAAGGAAGAGGTGGGATTTTTGGAGGTGAGTATCCTCGGATGCACTAGGAACGTGGGAGGCCAGTAGGTCTCTCTCTGCACTTGGCCTGCCCGGCTCGCCTGAATTTTCCCAGCACTCGCTGCTGCTTTTCAGGATCGAGATAATGTTATTTATTCTCTTGCCTTTCCCCTCTGCGCGTCAGCTGGCCAGAATGGATTCCCTCGCGAGGTATTTGTTTTAAAAATACGATCGCGCTTCGCGGCCAGCGGTGGCGGGTCCTCATCGTGGGCGCTCCAACAACTACACGAATCTGCCCGGGCGGCTTCTCGGTGGAGCCTCGCTTGCCTCTCTCGGGAGGGGCCTGGAGATTATTTATGGGACTTGGTTTCATCCGCAAATCTCCGAGAATTTAAAGGGATTGGAGTGATCTTCCCAGATTTCCCCTCCCGCCAGGCAGGCCGAGGACCAAGGTCCCGAAGCCGCGTTTGGATTTTGTCGCAGGCCGGAAGAGGCCTCTGAGATCCGGCCCAAAGGCCCAAAGGCTGCACTGACATTGGAAGGTGGGGAGATTCCCTACAAATTAACCGCTTTGGCAAAAGTCTGTTGGAAAAGAAAACTAGAAGGTGGGGTGGGGGAGGCAATCGCAGCCTCACGCCTAACTGGGCTTCTCCCCCTGCTGTCTTCTTACGGGGTTGAACAATCCATTTGGAAATCCTGCGTCTGATGCGCCAGGCCTGGCCTAGTGCAATTTTCCAGCCAAGAGGTTGCGGGGAGCCGGCTGTTAATCTAAGGGGCATCCTTCTTCCTGGATGTTGATCACTAGGTGGAGTCCCCAAAGGGTGGCTGGAAAGGGAGTGAGAGACTGGGGTGCAGGAACCCATTGAATGGGACCCCCTGACGTTTCTTCCAGCCCCATTCCCGATGCGCGGCGCTCCAGTCTGGCTCCGCTCGGGCGGTGACGGTGACGCTGCAAGCTCGTGTGTTTACGCTTCTACTGACCTCTTCAACTCGACCCTCGAAATCCGCTTCAGAGAGGGGGAGGGCGGAGAGCAAAGCCGAGTGGGGATGAAAACCCCGCGCAACCCTCAGTGACCGCGGGTTCTTCCCATACACCCCGGGAACTGCCTTGTGTACGACGAGGAACCTGGGAGGTCTGGGGGGCCGGGCGCGGGGGTGGGATGGGCTGGAGAGGGAGGGTGCCCGGCGATATCTTGGCATCTTTGATCTTAAGGCTCCAGCCCTATGCACCCTCACCCTGCCTTCACCCCAGAGTCACTGGGAGTCGGGGTGATGAGTGGGGCGGAGGGGCACGACTGGGCGACCAGCAGGGCGCGAGGGTGGCGCGGATCAGCCAGGCAGGGTCACGCTGCATTCGGGAGGTCAGAGCTGCAAGGCGAGGCTGGCGAGGGGCGCGGGTGTGTGTGTGTGTGTGTGTGTGTGTGTGTGTGTGTGTGTGTGTGTGTGGTGCGCGTGCACGCGCAAGTGCGTTCAAACTCCGCTTTCCCGGCCCGGCCCGCGTCGCCCAGCTCCCTTCCCGGGCAGAAACCGGCCGGGTGTGCAATGAACTGTGCAGGGTTTTCTGCAGCTGCGGCGCGCACGGAACAGCAGCGGAGATGGCTGGAGGTGGGGAAGGGGGTGGGGAGGAGGGCGTGAGCCCGAGGTCTGGGTTTGCGAGTCGCGTTGCGGTTTGAGGGTTCGGGAAATCTGGAGGAGAAGGTGGCAGGGGAGGGGGGGAGAGGGAGTGAAGGAGGGGAGAGAAAGAGACCGAGAGAGAGCGCGCCCCAGTACAGTCTATTTCAGGGCTTTGCAAACAGAGACCTAACGTCACTGAGCTCGGCTGAGTGGGCCTGGGAAGAGAGACGAGCAAGAGGGGAGAGGGAAGGAAGAGCGGGGAGAGACGGCGAGAGCGCTGGCCTCTTAGCCCGGGCGGATTCCGGAGCTTTAACCCGGAAAGCTTCCTTCAGAACCGCCTTGGATCATTTCCCCTGCTTCCTCGGGTCTCCCAGTTCCCCTCCCCGGGTGTGCAGGGAGCGAGGAGGCAGGGGTCTGGCGCTGCGCGAGCCCCCCAGGCTATATTTTCGTGTCTGTTGGAGCCCTTCTGGAGCCTGGTCACTGGGAAGTGTCGGGGAGCGCGCGCGCGCCGCGGAGGTGTGCCGGCGCCGGGCAGTACGGCCGAGGCTGCCGCGAGGCTGTTGCTTTGTAGGCGGCAGTAGCCACTACCCTGGGCCCGCAGCCCCTCGCGTAACCCCGGAGCCACCATGCCCGCGCCCCCGCCTCGCCGCCGGCTTTCCTGCTAGGAACAAGCGCGGATGCGGTGGATGCGCCGGCTTCACCCAGCGAGGTAACCCGGCCCGCAGCTGGCTAGGGAGGGAGGCCGCTGCCGAATTGGCTCCTGGAGGCGCCTGCGGGGGAACCTCAGCCTGGCCGTGGGTTCCCGGGGCGCGTGGAGCCTGGAGGCATCAGCGGCTGGGCGAGCAGCGCTGAGGTTTGAGGACACACGGCCTGGTTCTGTCACTCACATCTTGCTGGCTGCAGCCTGTTTCCAGCTTCCCGGAATCCTGTGAGGGCTCAGGGTGGGACTCTATCCCGGGCCAGCAGTGAGTGAGTCTTTGTGGGGGCGAGAAACCCCAGTTTTCTTGTAACGAGCAAACTGCTTGGCTCTGGTTACCTTCTCTCCAAGCTCCAAGCTGGTTTAAGGCAAGCTGCTTGGAGAAGAGGCCGCAGACAGAGGCCTCCATTTCGGCCCTGGTGTAGATCTGGGCAGGAGAGAGCTTTCTCTTCCGAGACTAAGTGTCGAGGAGCCACCCCTTCCTTGCACCTTCACAGTCTTCCAGGCTTGGGAGGAGGGATGCATATTTGAGAAAGTGTAGGAGATTGAAAGATCAGAAAGAGAGAGGCAGGCTCATGGAGGCTTAAAACATTTCTGCGGCTGTTGCTTTGCGTGTTACAATTCCAGACGCTTACAAACCCGGGCGGATTTTTCGCTGTTGCATTGGAGATTTTGAGCATTTGTAGCCAGGCATTGACCTGAGACCCAATTTTGTCCTGCCCACCCCCTGCCCCACTGAACCTGGCCGTGCTCTGCGCGGTCTGGCTGCTGGACAGAAGGATAGAGCTAGCAGCGGGGAGAAGGCGTCCCCGGCTGCCTGCAGGGCTGATTCTGCAGCGCGCTGGCCAGGCGCGCGTGTCCTTCCCATCTGCAACGAGGTTGTTTTCCTGGCCAAGCCTTTTGTTTGACTAATTTTAATTTTTAACAGTTCTTGGGGGAAAGAGAGCTTTCCATTAGAAAGGATTTAACTTTCGAGTTTATGACTGATAAAGAATGAACGCCCAGTCAGTCGCATTTGAACTGCGTCTCCTTCTCCTCTCCTGTTTTCGGTTTTGCAAGAGGCGGGTTAGGGCTCTTTTAAGGCATTTGGCGTCCTGGGTGGGTGGGATTCGTCTAGCCTGGTTTAATAAAGAGTTCCGGCAGTCTCTAGTAATTCGACAAGAAGGGGCGGGAAAAAAACAAAACAAAAACAAAAGACCCAAACCAAAAAACACCACCCCCCAGAAGACACCAGGGTTTTGTTTTGTTTTGGTTTTGGTTGGTACCCAAGGGCTTCCAAAAATACCGACGCCTTATCTCCATTGGCTCTTGCAGAAGTCCAGACAAATTTGACGGGCAGCTCGCTTATCGCGGGGAGGCTGCGCAGGGGCCATGCGGGCCTGGCCTCCTCCGGATCTAACGAGGGGGTTCTTTTTTGCGAGAGGTGGTGCGTGATCGTAAAAATAATAGTAATGATAATAGTAGCAGGCGCTTCCAGCCGCCTCCTTCAGTGGAGGGCGGAGGTGCTGCTGGCTGGAAGACGAGGCCAAAGTGCTCCCTTGGGTACTTAGAAAGGCGCCCTTCAACCTCCTCTCTCCCCTTGTCTTCAGAGCGGAACCGGTCGCGGGCACAGCGCCCTGGGCGCACTATGGCCGACGCGGACGAGGGCTTTGGCCTGGCGCACACCCCACTGGATCCAGATTCCAAGGAGTTGTCCTGTGACTCCAAGCCCGAGAGCGCACTAGGAGCTCCCACCAAGTCCCCCTCGTCCCCACAGGCCGCCTTCACCCAGCAGGTAAAAAACGCTTCACGCCTGGGGACCTTGGGGGAGACTCAAGTCTGTGGATCTGCGTGCGTGTGTGTAAATCAAGGCCTGTTATTTTCTCCTTTTCCTTTGATTCCCACTCAAACCCGCTATGTTTTTGGCCTTCCCTTCTCCATGCCAATAGCAACTCCATCTCATTGTGTCAAGGATTCTGATGGTCAGGGGGTTAAGGAATTATATTTAGTTTTTTAGAGAGGCCTCAATTACCACCAGGCTATTTGGCCTAGCTAACAATCCCCCCCCCCCAATAATTCCCTTCCGGTGGCACGAGGTGTAGACTGGGCCCTGGGCGGCTCATTAAGGGCCAGGTCAGCGGCCTCTCAGGTCGGTGTGAGCGATGGTTTGACCCTTCTTCAGATCTTTTGCAGCCCTGGCCAGCACTCGCCTCCTCTGGCCCTGGCTTAGCCAGTGCGGCTGCACCATTTGTCTTGTGGTTGGGCCTGGCCTGGCCTGGCGCGTCCTGCCCGGCTGTGCGCAGTGGGCCTGGCCTGCGTGGGGAGGATGGAGGAGCTGCGTGCGGGCTCGCCTGGTGGGTGCTGGGCCCTCAGGCGGAGCGTGGAGTGGAGCCTCTCTGCACATCCTTCCATTGACTCCCAAGCCCTTGGCTCTTGGAGACCTGAGGATTTTATAATAGGGTGTCAGCTGTGACTGTGTGGAGAGATCTGGAGGTACCCTGGATACGGTGGTGACAATTCGAAGCCTCTGCTGCCTGTGCCCTTTGCTTTTCAACCTCAGGAAAATATGTGCACTATGCATCAAGCTGAGACGGTGTGGGCACAGACTGGGAAGCCCCACAGATTGGTGTGTGTTTTTTTGTTTTGTTTTGTGTTATTTTTTAAAGAGGAAAAAAGCAGATTCCCATTTTAGGGCGGTGCGACACCACTTTAAAACGGAGGCTTTTGTGCAAAAATTTTTGTTTTGTGAAGGTTTTGTAAAAGAACGTTTAGTTGAAAGCGGGAAAAGTTGAAATGGCTTCTTTGCGTGGCGGCCACGTCATCCAAGCGACATAGCGCAGGCGTGAAGGCGAGCTGGCAGCTTTTTGGTGTATTATTTAATTTTGTTCTGGTTTGAGATCATACCAGAATACAAACACACACACACACACACACACACACACACACACACACACACATTTTTAAAATGTTTTAAAAATTCAATAGAGGCTCATATTTACACCCACAGTGATGGAGGATAAACTGTGATGTATTTCCACCCAGGGCTCTGAGCACCTACATGAAATTAGCCCAAATGGAGTTTCTCTCCTTACACTGAGATTCCCTGAAGGCCCCCACTCGCCTCTGTTAAAATGAATTGAAATTGGCCCAGTGTGTGTCTCAGCCCTTTCCACTCCACATGCATTCTAGAACACACGGAATTGTTCTAGAATTGTTTCCCTTGTATTTTGTTGGGGCCTTAGAAGGAGGGCACACTCAGGAATCAAGGAGTTTTTGCAAAGCTCCTCCTGGACCGCAGATAGGGCATTGGTTTAGGAGGGAGGAAGAAGCAGGCTGTCTTAGGGACCGGGGGTATGGGGTGTGAAGGCTCCAGGCCGCCCCTCTTTGTCGGGATCTGACTTTCCCCTCCTTCCTGCAGGGTATGGAAGGGATCAAGGTGTTCCTCCATGAACGGGAGCTGTGGCTGAAATTCCACGAAGTGGGCACGGAGATGATTATAACCAAGGCTGGAAGGTGAGAGGCCACGGCGTGGAGAAGGAGGGGAGGACTGTGGGAGAGAGAGATAAGGACCGTCAAAGGAGGATGAGGAGAGAGGCAGAAGGGAGGAAGGAGAGGGAACAGAGAGGAGGAGAGGGGGCATGGAATACAAGGGAAGAGAGAAGACAACGCGATGGAGAAGGAGGTGGAGTTTGGCGCTTTATTTTGTTAGACCCAGCTCTTGTTAGAACGGCTCGAGGAAAATTCTTCCTTTGATCTGAAGCAGGTGGGGAGACAGGCAGAAAGTCTCAGCTCTCAATTTGAGCATTTCTTCCACATTTTATATAGGAAGATTAAAGAGTGTGGGAGGCCGAGCTATCTGGGCTCATTAGTAATAAGCGAAAGGGAAATTAGAGAGGCAGAGAGAAGGCCTGGAGATAGCAGAGGCTTTGAGTTTCCCTGGGACTTTTTCTTCCACGCACCCCGCCCCCCAGCCCCTATCCCCAAGACCTTGGAGTGGTTACAGGGCCCCATCCGAAGGCCCCACTCGGAATCGGAATCGTTGAATGTATTCGCTACCTCTTCCATTGTTTATAGAAAGCAGGCAAAGCCTTTGAAACTGAACCAGTGCTCGGCCGCGTTCCATATACAGACACCGATAAACAGGGCGGCTTGGCCAAGACGCTCACGCGCGGGAGTTCCTTTTAAAAGCTCAAGTCTTCGGCGAGGCTGCTGGGGGCGGGGTGACCCTGCTCAGGGTGGGGGTGGGGCGCGTGCCTATGCACCCAGGCCTGGGGACAGCCTCGCCGCACCCCGTCCTCGTCCTCCGTGGTCCTCTGCATCCCCAAGGCAGACGGAGTTGGCTGGAGCAGGCGTCCGCAGCGAGAGAGCCCTGTAGGCCCCAGCCACCAGGCGCGTGAAGGCAGAGGGTGCAGCCATCTCCAGGCGCAGCCTCTCGCAGTAAACTGGCAACAGTGACATTTATTATTATTCTAAATTAAACAATGTCTGCACCCAGACACCCCCACCACCCCGCTCCATGGCCTGATGAACGAGGAGGCGCGTCTGTTTACACCGACGAATCGAGGATTTCTTCCCTTTTCGCCGATGAAAAGAGGGACTTGGGGCCTCCTTCCCCCGCCCCAGTCTGTGCTGAAGGATTTCACTATAAAAGGCTTGCGAAGTCGCTTGTGCCTCCGCCTCCGGGTGCGCCCGGCACATAAACAGTGCGAGGCCTGGGCTCAGTGGTTTAGGGGAGAGGCCTGCGCGCACCCCTTCCCGCCATCCCGGAGTGTATCCAGCCCCGGGTGACCCAGGTGGAACCCAGGGACCCTTGCAGAGCCTTGTATTCTGGGGCGTGAGCTTCGAGGGGGGCTGGAAACTTGGAAGGGGCTGGTGCGCGCGCAGGGAGCGGTTTTAACGCAGTTCCTTGGCGCGCGCGCGGTCTTGGGTCCTCAACCACCGGATTCTAATTCAAGGGCCAGCTCTTTCGGGAAATAAATCCGAATGGGTGGGAGATATCTTTGCTGAAGGCCAAGGGTTTTTTTTAACTCTTCAAGGAAGGGTCTCAAGCTCCTTGTAGAAGTTGGGGCATTTAAAATGAAATCCCTGTCTGACACTTGGGGCACAGCTAATTCCTCCTATCCCATCTGTACAGGGAAGCACGGGGGCCCCAGCTCTGGAGAAGGGGGAACAAAGCTAGGGCAGGAGGCAGGTGAGCGCCCACTGACGAGTGGACGCGCGTGCGTTCCCAGAACGTAAGCCCCTTAGTGTCCAAATGACCTTCGCCCTGGAAGGACCAAAACACCTGGCTGGACCTGAAGGAGACTGCTTGTACCCAATAGACCTTTCTTCCCCCTAAAAGTAGGTGCCTGACTCTGAAAAGAGCAAGAATGACGTGAGTTTCAGGCCCTCATCAAAACCCGTTCTCTCCAAGGGCTCGCCTCCTGGTTTCCATTTTCCTGCCAGATACACACGCGCCTGCTCGCCTCGTTCTTTCTCATCCCTTCGCCTTCTTCCTCCCCGGGACATCAAGAGAAACCCGGGATGGATCCGGGCGAGAGAGCGGAGTGGGGACCAGTTTGTCTTCTGTTGCTGTTTAAAGAAAATCTGTGGACATGTTAGACTATTGGCACGAACACCTCTCTTCTTCTTCTTCTTCCTCTTCCTCTTTCCTAGGCGGATGTTTCCCAGTTACAAAGTCAAGGTGACTGGCCTGAACCCCAAAACCAAGTACATTCTTCTCATGGATATTGTTCCTGCTGACGACCACCGATACAAGTTCGCCGACAACAAATGGTAGGCCCCCAGTGACAGGCGCGAAGGGTAGAAAGCAAAGCGGAAACCAAATTACCCCATTTGTACGGAACCAGTAGACAGTGGCTTGAGGGCCTGGGAGAACCTTTTACTAGCCTGTAACCCCAGGCTGGTGGAAGGGCAGCCATTCCCTTCCATTTTCCAGATGAGAAAACTGAGACTCAACTAGAGACTTGTTTACACATATTGTTGGCATCTATAGGTTCGTTTTTGTTTGTTTTCCCAAAGAATAGTGTCACCAAGTACCGGCGGTATTTCTAGGGGCATAAACGCCTTTATAGTTATTTTTTTAATGAGTTGTTTGCTTTCGAGATGCCTTTTTATGAAATGGCAAAAAGCGTCCGTGAAACTTGAATTCAACAGGCAGGAGAGTCTCCAATCCCTCTTGGCCAGTCTTGTTGTTGAGTCGAGCATGACTCACAGCGACCCTATGAACAAAAGGCCTGAAGCCCCTCTACAACTATTGACATTTATCAAAGTTCATAGAGTTTTTCCGGAGACATGTGGCTTAGGAAGTGGTTGCCACTCCTGCTTCCAAAAGCCAGCCTCTCAGGACCCCCTAATTGTTCCTAAGAAAATGAGTTTGGTGGGAAGGAAAGTGCAAGGTCCAGGTGACCTGAGCACCTGAATCTGGTGCTCAAGACACACGCTCAACTGAGACTCAATGGTCAGGTCATTTTCAGCTCACTCTGGTCAGTACCTGGCAGGCTCAGAGGCCCTACGTGGTGGCGTTGATTCTGGGTAGCGCCGGCTGGCCAGTCACACCTCTTCCTGATGTAGGTCGGTGACCGGGAAAGCCGAGCCCGCCATGCCCGGCCGCCTCTACGTGCACCCGGACTCGCCGGCCACCGGAGCCCACTGGATGCGGCAGCTTGTCTCCTTCCAGAAACTGAAGCTCACCAACAACCACCTGGACCCGTTTGGGCATGTAAGTGTGGCGCGCGTTCCGCTGCGGCCGAGCTCAGCCTCGAGCCCCAGCCCCTTCTGCTCTCTTACTGCTCATTTCCCTTCTTTGGCTGTCCGGGCCTCATTCTCTCTTCCCTCATCCTTAATCTCCTCTTTTGTTCTGTTAATTTATTTCTATTTGCATCTGCCTTTCTTTTTTCCTTATTTCTTTCACCTTCAGATCCCACTTTCTTTTTCTTTCTCCTCCATCTCCACTTCTTTTTTTATTGGACCGCCGCTGGTGAGCCTCTACCCCTCACTCAGCCTCTCTGGAGGCTGGCGCTGGAGGGCTCGGTTCTCTGGGCCTGGAGTGTAGCCTGTGTCCATACCACCAAGCGTCCTTACCACCAAGCACCCAGAGCGACCCTTTGCCAAGAGAGGAGGCAGATGGAGTGACTTGGGCCTTCCACTGCAGGCCGGACTCTGGGGCTGTGCACACGGTCTGCGCTCCAGCCCCACCTGGGGCTAGAGAGGTGGAGGATTGATTTCAGTCCCCATGGATGACATGCACAGACCCTCTAGCGCAGTGGGGGCTCAGCAGTGACCTCACACAGAGGCTGAGCTAGCAGAGAACCATTTGCCTTCCCTACCTTTCTCCAAACTGTCTTAGTACTGGGGTGCTTCAACTCTGAGGGACACCCCAGGTCACCCACCTGTTCTTTCACACCTGCCAAGAGCAGAGAGTTCTGTTCCTGGTACTCTGTTTAGCACAGAGCCGTTGTTTCCGACTGCAGCCTCTCCCATCCACGGCCACGTGGAGTAGGCAAACCTGGCCGAGGTCCCTGAGGCTGGAGTCTGAGGTGGCCCCAAGACAGATGTTCCCAGGAGCTGTGTACACACCGGCACTCGTGGGAACAAGCATACACACACATGGGTCCCTACACTCCAGGGGAGAGAAGATGTTCCCTCTCTCCTACCTCCCTCACGCTCCTCCATCTCTAAAGAGAAGAAAAAAAAGTTTGTTCCACTACCTTCTCCATAGAAATTAGCTGGTCAGATTTCTGGGGGGGGAAAAAATCCCTTTTGGAAGGTGGTTCATTGACATCCCTGTCTAAACCCCTCTTAGCTTGCTTGATGATCTGGGGGGGGTAGAGATGAGGACTCATTTACTGAATAAGCTTCCTTCGCCCCCACTGTATCGAGGGATGGGACAGTAGCCTGCAGCCCTTGGGAAAAGGAAGCTGGGATGAGAAGGGGATGTGGTCAAGGACACAGCGCATCCCTGGAAACAAGGGGCTGGGGAGAAATCTCACAAGGTGGCCTCCTGCTTAGCTAAGAAAGGAGCCTTGGTGGCACAGTAGTTAAGCACTCGAGTGCTAATGGAATGGTCAGTGGTTTGAAGGCAGCAGCTGCACCCAGGAGGGAAGATGAGTCCTTCTGTTCTGCCTTGGGAACCTCACCAGGCGGTGGGAAACTGTGCTGCAGGGTCGCTGGAACCTGGCATCAACTCCAAATCAGGGAGTTTTCTTTTCTGGTCTTAAGAGCTGTCTTTCAGGTTCCCAAACTGGGGAACAGAAAGGGCTGGATGACAATGGATTCGCCTTCTAGGCAGGATGGTTTGCGAAGGAGTTAAGAGTTTGTGAAATCGGGGCCTCTGCGGTGAAGCGGGTGCACGCTCCTTCAGTGGCACTTTACGCAATGGCTGGGGTACAGCCGGCTGCCTGCTGGGGAGAGAGGTACGAGCCATTCCGCGTCTGTGCCACAGCTGATGTGGGAAAACCCAGTGTGTCCTTCTGGTCCCGGCCACCAGTGTCAGTAGCGCCCGGTGCCAGGCATCTGGGTGACGAATGACCGGCTTGCGTGGGGTGGCGCGCTCAGGGTACCTGACAATGTCCCACCCTCTGTATTAGGTCTAAGTTAGGTGAGACAGGCCGGCCATGCTCTGGGGACCTGGGGAACCTGGATGTAGGGAAGTGGGGCTACGTTGCAGCCCCTTGCCGGCCCCCAGCTGTCTCTGGGCCTGCTGCTTGGGTGTGATTTTGGGGTTGCACCCGGCTGGGATGCGCAGGGAAGTCACTCACTCCCACCCACAGTCCAGTTCTATTTGGGGAGCCCCTGCCCCCGCCACTTCAGACCTGGTCAGGCAAGAGTATGGGGCTTTGGAGCCAAGGCTGACCGGACTCCCCAACTGCCGCGCCCCGGGAGCCGCCCTCGCGGAATTAAGAGCCATTAGATTACTCTCGCGCTGATGTCTCCAGTCGTTCCCGGCCGTCAAAGCAATTTGGCTAAGCCCGGGCGATGGCCGCGCGGGCCGGGGGCTGCGGCGGCCGGCGGGGCCCTGCTGCGTCTCTCTGTCGCCACGCCGCCCAAGCCGGCGTCACTATCGGCCAGGGAGGCGGCCGGGCCCGGGCGGCCGGAGATTAGAGCGCGCAGCCCCGGGTCCCAGAGCCAGGGGGCCAGGGCTAGCCTCCCCTCCCCCTCCTCCCGCCCCAAGGTCATCAATGCAAATAATCAAAGAGGCCCAGGGGTCCTGGGGTAAAAGCAAGCCCTTCAGGCCCGCCCAGCATGGTTGTGTGGTTGTATGTCTATTCGGTGATGGGTGTGCGTCAGCGTGCTTGGATAAATATTAACGTTAAGGGCCAGCTGGGGCTATCAAAACCCGGGAGTCATTAGAACAGCAAGCCTAGTTTTATTTGTAAAGCTGTTGATCTGTGAATCGTCCCACTCGGCAATGGTGTGGAGTCTGGAGTTTGTAGTAATAATAATAATAGTCGTTATTGTTAGTTGCTGTCTAGGGGGTTGGATTCACAGGGAGTCCCTGTGTTCAGGACAGAACCAGCCTTTTAGAGTTCCAAGGGGACCTTTCGGAATCAGATTGCCAGGGACTGGCTTCTGAGACACCTCTGAGTGGATTTGAACCGCTGTCATTTTCAACTAGCAGCCAGGGCTATTTCGTAGTCAGGGCTAATAGGTCATTGCTTGAACCTCTGTACTCCCCCACCCCAGACACCCCTTAAAAATATTTATGATAATTGCAATAACCACCTCACAATAAAAGCAGTTAAGAGGCCACTTTGGGTAAGGAATTGCGCTGCCAGCCCAAAGGCATGCTGTTCGAATCTGCCAGCAAGAACAACAAAAGATGGGCAATCTCCTCTCGGGTGATTAATCAACTGCTTCTGAAAACCTGCTGGAGGGGTCAGCTCTGGATGGGTCCTGGGTTCCGAAGGAAGGAGGAAGACAAAATACCCCACAAGCCGGATGCAGCCAGTCTGGCTGGGGCCAGCTCAGAGATAGCCCCAGCGAGGCGTCCTCAGTGCAGATGAAGATAGTGAGGGGAAGTATTCACGGGGTGACCAGTACCTTTGGCCATGGGGTGTCCTCTCCACCTCTCCCCCATCTTTAGAGGGGGCTTTGCTAAGCCTTCTGCCCCCTTCCGGAAACTGTGTTTTTTTCTTCTTCTTCTTTTCCTGGGGACTTCTCTCTGTGTCTTCCCTAAACAAAGGGCCACACTTTGGGGTTTATTGCGTCACCCGCTGCTCCAGGAAACCACTGTGCAGAGATCCCACTTAGGTTTGGTTTTGTTTTTGTTTTAAAGGCGGGTTCTGCATACACCAGACCTCTTTCCTCCTAGCCTTGAGGGGTCTGGAGGGTTGTTTGCATGTTTATTTATTTGCTTCCTTCTTTCCATGCCCAAATTGTTGGGCCAGGTTTCCTGGGGTCTCGAATTCCTCTAAATGACTCGGTTCCGCCCATCAGGCCGGGAAGTGCCGTAATGCAGGGAGTTAATTTATTAAGCAAACTTTATTAAGGATCCTGATTTACTGCCTTGTGTGCTTTGGGTAGATTCCTGGAATATTACCCTGGCTTTTTGGGTTGGAAATTGTCATTTTTGAAATGTTTCTTTTTAATGAAATCATTGGCCTCTTTTCAAAACAGGAGAGGGAAGGGGTGGGGAGAAAGCTGGCTACTTTTGAAAGCTCCTAAGCTAATTTTGGGACCGGGGAGTGAGGTTTTACATTTCGACAATCTCATTTTCTTTTATGGGATTCTTTCTAGATTATTCTAAACTCCATGCACAAATACCAGCCCCGGCTGCATATCGTGAAAGCGGATGAAAATAATGGATTCGGTTCTAAAAACACAGCTTTCTGTACCCACGTCTTTCCTGAGACGGCGTTTATCGCCGTGACTTCCTACCAGAATCACAAGGTAAGAGCCGCACCTAGGGCTGGTCGTGTTTATGCCACTGGCCCGAGGCTTGAGTTTTTAACAAAGCTTCTCTCCTGAGGCCCAGCAGGCATGCAGGGCACTTGGACAGGAACCGAACTGCAGTCCTTTGTACCATATTCCTGCGCTTGATGCAACTGTCCTGCTGATTCGGGCATGCACCCCTTCTACCTGGTCCAGCCACAGATGTTCACATGGCCAGATGCAGGGAATTTCATTGCACTCATCAATGGCCAATGAGAACAAAGGTCACTTTATCACTGTGTCCTTGGGTGGTGGCTGGGGGGGGGATTGGATCTGGTGGCCCCACTGTGGGCACTGGGGCTCAGTCTCCTCCCTCCCCCACTCCCTTCTCTCAGCTCCACAGGGCAGGTGACAAAGGTGCTGGAACCCTGGCGTGTTCAGATGCTTCACCTGTAGCTGTCGTTGTTGTTGAAGTCTCTTCTAATTCACAGACTCCGTGTCACAGTTTTCTTGGCTGTATGTAATCTTGGCAGAGGCAGATGGCAGGAGTTGAGGTGGAATCTTGTAAGGAACACTGTACTCTTTGGGAGAGGAAAGAGCAGAGGTGGTGGCCCTGAATGGATCCTGGTAACATCAGACCTCATGTTGCCAAAAACTCAGGCTCCAGTTTGGACATTTGAAAGACAATGGCTTGGCCTCAGGGGTGCCCCCAAATTGGAGGTTGATTGGGGGCCACTCTAATCTGGAAAGGGCTTACCTGGGCTTGGTCCCCGCCCTCTTCTGTCCTTTAGAAACACATGCTGTGGGTGATTCATCAACCTTGTTAAGATCTTAACTGGGATGGAGAAAGGCAGAACGTCTGAACTGGGCAGGGACCATGGCCTGTGGAGTTGTAGACTATTCGGGAGTAAAAAGTTGTGACTTAGGGTTAGAGCAGTGAGGGGGGACAGGAAGAAACCACAATGGGGTCAGTGAGGGCAGGTCACGTGGGCAATTTACAGAGATGAGTGCGGGATGTGAGTGCCCCTCTTCTTCCATGGCACCTGTCTCCATTTGCAAGGTAAGGGCAGGGGAACTGCAGGGTCTGAGGAGCCAGTTAGGGGAGACCAGAGACCAGAGAAGGGGGAGAGGTAGGCTTAGCACCCCAAAGCCACAGTCCCCCGTGGAGGGGTCGTCACAGTACAGGCTGAGTGGCAGACAAGCCTCCTGCTGTGTGTGGGCTGTTCACCAATGTTGTTGGTATTCTCAATGTCAATGTCAATGTCAATGACCAGATCAAATCATGATGGATGGAGCTTCCCAAGCCCATCAGCCAGCCTAGGAACCCAAAGTCTTGAAACTACTTCCTTCCAGGAAAAAAACTCCACTCCCCAAACACAATTCTTCCCCCCACCAATGTTTTGTTTTGTTGTTTTTAAGCATTTATATGGCAAACCACGTGCCCATTGAACAGCTTCTACAGGCCCCATTTAGTGACACTGGGTACAGTCCTCCTCTGGTGCAACCATTCTCAGCCTCTTTTTTTGAGTTGTGTCTTCCTTATTAACGCAAATCCATTATCCCCTGATGTGCCTGTCTCACTTTTGGGTTGCTGTTGTTGTTTTGATCCCATAGAGATGATTCTTAAAAGAACATAATGCTCAACACATCAGTAAAATGCCCCTCAAGCTGGTTGGAATTGAGGCGGGGATTGACTCACTCACGGGTGACCCTCCATTGAGTTTTTTCAGAGGTTGTAAAGAGCATGGCAGGAAATGGACTATCTTTCTCTGATGGACCAGGTGGTGGATTCTAACCACCTGCCTTTCTGTTGACAGTGCAACCGCCTTAACACCAGGCCACCAGAGCCCCCTAACCCTTTTTTGATCGGTTAAACAAAACTGTTGATTGGTTTTAATACGACTTTGTGGAATATTTTGAGTTTAAAGTTGAGAGATTATCTCACATCAGAAGTTTTTAGCAATTATTCAACTTCTATGTCTCCAGTAAGTTTAGAGTCTGTGAGATTTTGAAATTCTGTTCAGTACTTCTTCTCCTTTGGCCAGGATTCTTCCATAAACTCTTTGATAAAAATGTCCAGCAGCGGCAGCCAGACATCATCTGGCTCTTCTGGTCTTCTAGCAAAGGACGTTGTGGGTCACGGAGGAAACTGGCCATATCTTCCATTCCTCCTCTTATCACGACTTGTCTTCTTCCTTTGTTGCTCTAAGTAACAGACTGCAGTTGCTAGAACTTGGATGGCTGGTTGCTTGCAAGCATTTAAGACCCCACCTACTACCCAATGAATGAGGTAGAACAGAAGCATTAAACACGTTGTTAGGTCAATTCAATGTTAGGTCTCATGAAATCAGGACCTGGAACCTCCAAACCAAGAGATTAAATCCCCTGAAATGTTTGGTTGTACAGGCTCAACAGCTATTCTTTGTTGTATCTATCACACAATTTTTTGCCAGATCATATAGATGTACAATTTTGGGGTTAGCAATTATAATAATTGGCTTTGCAACTCTAGTCTTAATCAATAGATTTTCCACCCCATTTCCCCCCTCTTGTTCCTTATAACCAAGAATGAGCTTTGGTCTCTATACGTTTGCCTTTTGTTGTCTTTTTATATAAGTGAGGATTTAACGACATTTATATTTTGTTTGTGATTAATTCGTTTATTGCACTCAGCGTAGTATCTTCAAGTTCTCTCCATACGATGGCATGTGTCAAGACTTCATGTAACCTACTGCTTAAGTAGTATTGTACTGTCTCTATGTACTGTTGTTTTTTGTTAATCTGCTTCTCTGTTGATGGACACTAAGGTTGTTTCCACCTTTGGGCCATTGTAAATAGTGCTGCAATGAACAAATGGCACACAAGTCGCTTTTAAGCTCTGCTCTCAAGTCTTTTTGAGTCTCGGTGAGTGGAATTGCTAGGTCATACGGTAGCTCTAGGGAGCTCTGGTGGTCTACTGATAAGATGCTGCTCTGCAATCCCAAAAGCATGTGGTTTGAGTTCACAGCTGCTCTGTGGGAGAAGGATGGGCATTTGCCTCCCAAGCAATTAACTGCCTCTGAAAACCCGCGGGAGGGACAGCTATGGGTCGGTTCCTACTTGATGCTTATTCAACAACAACACGGTAGATCTAGTTTTAGCTTTTTGAGGAACTATTATTCTGTTTTCCACAACAACAGTACCCTTTTGCATTCTCACCATCTCTGGATTAGAGTTCCAGTTTTCTTACATCCTTGCCAACTTTTGTTATTCTCTATGGGTTTGGTTTATGTATGATTAGGTATTATTTTCATGACAAGAGTACAGAATAAGAGATGCATAGTAAAGCGGACTTGGGGGAGGAAGCTTGTATAACAGTGAAAGAATTTTTTTTCCTTCAAAGAGAAAAGCGGACTGGGGGGAGTGGTGGGTAGGGAGGAGTGTGCAACCACGTGTGAATGGGAATCCAAAGTCTCTGTAAACTTTCATTAAAAAAAAGAGAATGCTGTAAAGTAGGAAAATGTCATGGAAATATTAGTATCCTATCATTAATTTCATTTTCAGAGCAGGCTAGACAGCAGTATGTTTTAAAAATGAAAACATAATTAATGCAATTACAAAATGCATTAAAATGAAATTTTAATTTTCACTTAAAAATAAAATGTGGAATTAATGAAAAAAAAGAAAGAAAAGGCCATAGCTTGAATAATTTCTCTGATAGTGACTCAAAACCAAGACTTTTAAATGTCTCTGTTTCTTTCATGCCTCTCTGAAGATAGTTTATTCTGCTTCTCTGTAACTAAAAACTTAAGAGATGTGGAAGAAAACTTGGCAAAATGGAAATCTTCCTTTAAATCTGACACTATACAAGACCTTTATAGAATAGGTTTGGGGTTTATTTGCTGTGTTTTGTTTTTTTTTCTCTCTCTTATAAAAGGTAGTGACCAGTGTAGCTACATTAGAAATAAGGGATGTAAGTGAGGCTGATTATGTTCAGAATTTCTAAGACAAGTGATTCATTTGGTTCCATAAGAGGTTTTCCCACCTGTTCTTTCTAATGCTCCATAGGGCTAAATAATCTACAATAAGCATGAATTACCTTTATGAAAAATAATTTCTAAAGAAAAAAAATTTTAATGATTCTTGTGAGAGTCACAGTGGTTTTGAGTCTCATCTTTTTGATGTCTGATGAAGTAGCCTTACTGGCATAGTGGTTAAAGTACCTGACTGCTAACTTAAAGGTCAATGGTTCAAATCTGTTGGGCACAACCTGGGAGAATGTGTTTTGTTCATTTGAATGTGTTTGTTATAATATATTTGTAGTTATAATGTCACTTCCAGACCTTTGCCCCATTTTTATGGTTGAGTTATTTGCCCTCTTGTCAAATATTTATAAATTTTGGTAAGATGCTTCCCCAGGTGGTAGTGTAGCATTTTACTTTTCTTGTTAAAGTCTTTTGATGAACAGGTTTTTTAGAAGAATATTTTATTTTATTTTATTATTTTTTGTGAATGTACCATCAAATTAGATCTGACTGGTACAGGAGGAGATTGTCCCTCCTTCTCCAGCAGTGCATCTGGTGGATTTGAACCTCGGCCCTCTGGGATTGCAGTGCAGCTTCTTGCCACTAGGTCACCAGAGCTTCCTAGGCTTTTAATTTTTATGAGGCTCTGCTTATTTATCATTTGCTGTTTGTGCTTCTGTTGCTATATTAGATATACATCTAACATAAGGGAGCTCTGGTGGCCTAGTGGTAGGAAGCTGTGCTGCATTCCCAAGGCACACAGTTCAAATCCACCAGCTGCTTCCTGGGAGAAAGATGGGCAATCTCCTCCTGTGTGATGTATTGCCTTGGAAAACTCGCTGGAGGGTCAGCTATGGATCGGTTCCAACTCAATGGGGCACAGCAACTAATGTATCAGATTGATGAAAGCTAGGATTATAATATTACACTATTGTAAGAATTCTATGCTTTTAGATTGCACATTTAGGTCCCTAATCCATTTCAAATTTGTTTTGGTGTATGGTGGGAGGCATG